TGAGAGAGGAGAGTGAGAGAGAGAGAATTTTTTAATATTTATTGTTTAGTTCTCGGCGGACACAACATCTTTGTTGGTATGTGGTGCTGAGGATCCAACCTGGGCCGCACGCATGCCAGGGGAGCGCGCTACCGCTTGAGCCACATCCCCAGCCCCTCTATCTTTCTTTTTAAAATATCTTTTTAGTTGTAGATGGACAAAATACCTTTATTTATTTATTTATTTTTATGTGGTACAGAGGATCAAACCCAGTGCCTCACATGTGCTAGGCAAACACTGTACCACTAAGTTACAACCCCAGCCCTCTCATTGCTCTTTCTGAATCACTTTATGCCACTTCTCACAAACTTTGATTTTAGAAATACCTTTTTTTCTATGGAGACATGAACATACACTAGCTTTTTGTTAAAATAGCTCTTATTGTGGGGCTGGGGTTGTGGTACTTGCCTAGCACGTGTGAGGCTCTGGGTTCGATCCTCAGCACCATATAAAAATAAATAAATAAAATAAAGATATTGTGTCCAACCACAACTAAAAAGTAAATAAATATTTTTTAAAAAAACTCTTATTGTGATATACTTCACAAGTTTTTAACTTTATGGCATCAAACAGTTATGAATGAATACTTTGTGTATAGCTTTCTGCCCCAGCCAAGGATTAGCTGCTTAGCTATTAATGAGCTTGAGCTGCAGCAAAGCTTTCAGCAGGACCAATTGCCATGCATGTCCCTTGCTCTCCTTACCCTTCCCATGACATGTGCTGTCACTGGCCAAGGTTTGGTAGCAACCAGCAGAAACCTTGTATTCCACAACAGCTTTCATGACTCTGCCCAAATGTTATTTAGGCAAATACACAAAGATCTGATGTCTGGCTTATATGAGTGACAAATATTAGCAACCCCTGACAAACACTGTAAGTACTAGAAGTCTGCTTACTAACAGCCTTCAGAGTACGTGTGTAGATGTATCCAGTTGTACCAGTAGATAGAGAAGCTGCCAGCAGGTAAAAAATTATTAGTTTTTAAATATCATTATGTGTGTAGAGAGATAAAGGCCAATAGCCTTACAGTTGGCCTTGAACTTGGGAGCAAGTAGGTGGCAGCAATAAATGTCTATTGGTCTGAACCCCACCCAAGGCTTAAGACCTGATTCAGCCTGTGAATACTTCCTGACAGACTGAGATACTGGGACAAACCTGGAGGACTCTGAACTTGATTGGGCCATAAAAAGAAGATGACACTGTAAAATCTAATGTTTTTATTAAGATTTTTCCATTATAGAATACAATATTGAAAAGTCCAGAAAAGTAGGAAAACATTACCAAATCCTACCATTTAGTTACAATCACTGTTAAGGCGTTGGTGTAAGTATTTCATTTATGTATTGTTTCATTAATAAAAATATTAGGGCCTCAATTACATGATGCTAGGCTCTGGGTGATACTGAGATAAACCCAATAAATACTTTGTATAGCCATAGCATTTCCTTCCAGCCTTTTTTTAAGGTATTTTTTTATACATTTAAAAATGGTCCGAACTTCTTTAAAATTATAGGAACAAACTAAAAATTATTGCGATAGAAACTTTGCTTTCTCATGGGGCTGGAGTGGTGGCTCAGAGGAAGAATGCTTTCCTGGCACATATGAGGCCCTGGGTTCAATTCTCAGCACCACATACAAATAAATAAATTAAATAAAGGCCCATCAATGACTAAAAAATATTTAAAAAAAAAAAAAGAAAAAGAAAAAAAAGAAACTTTGCTTTCTCATTTCTACCAGTAGTTTTAGGACTGGGGATATAGCTCGGTGGCAGAATGCTTGTTTAGCATTGGTAAAGCCCTGGGTTCAATTCCCAGCACCACAAAAAAGGAAATAATTTTATGCACACTAGACACTTCAACTTTAACTGAAGCAGAAGTAAGTTACTCTCCTCCATTTCTGGTCAAGGACTGATCTGGTCAAGGTTAAGATGAGATGAGTAGGATATCAATTAGGAAAAATTGTTTCTTGTGGGTGGAATTCTTAGGGTCTCTCTTGCTTCAGTTCCATCAACTTACTAGAGTTAGTGTCAACTCTTCCAGTTGACCAGGCTTCTCTCCACCAAGTTGGATATTGCCTCTCCTAAATGGGGGTTGGGATGGCTCAGTCCCCACTTGGCATGAAGCAGCCATTCTTCTGGGTCTCAACTCTACTTCTCTCTTCCTGAGAGGTTCCTGAGAGACCCTGATGAGCATTTTCCAAGGCCACTTTGCAAGCTAATAGACTTCATTTGGTGACTGTAGCAGATGCTCTTGATGTCCAAGTCCCCTTGGCCTATCTGAGACAAGTTGTAGCTGCAACAGGCCATGCCCTTGGTGCTGATGACATCCCTCCTCCAATGCCTGTGTCTTCTCTCTCACTCTGTCTCTAGTTTGCAAGATTAATTCTTCACCATTTCCATGTTTTCTGAAATCAACTGTTGACAAGAGTCTTTGTTCCTCTGGGTGCATTTGCTCTTTATGCCTACTTTCCCTTCAGCAGTAAATCCTAGCAAGGGGGATTGGAGGTGGTTGGTGGTGGACATGGAAATACACAGGGCTAAATTTCTACCCTAGGTACTTTGAACTTAGTGTATGTTTAAATCAACTCCTTTTTTTTTCTATGATTAAAAAACATGTTTATGGCTGGGCATTGTGGTGCACACTTGTAATCCCAGAAGCTCCTTGGGAAGATGAGGCAGGATGATGGTGAGTTCAAAGCCAGCCCCAGCAATTTAGCGAGACTGTAACAACTCAGTGAGACCCTGTCTCTAAATAAAATATTTTAAAAAGGGCTGGGGATGTGGCTCAATGGTTAAGCACCTCTGGGTTCAATCCCTGGTAACAAAAACAACCAAAAAACATGTTTATGGTCAGAAGAAATACATATCAAACAGACACATCTAGACACTTAACCTTCTTCCCCCAAAGCAATGGGTTTTAACAAGTTTCTGATGTTTTTCCAGAAATAGTCTATGTATTTACAAGGCAGAGCATCTAATTTAGAGTCCCATTTTTACATAAATACAAGCAAATATACAAAATATATTTTCAACTTCATTACATATGTTGGAAGGGAGCTGCTTCCTTTCCCCCATAACTTTAATATTGTTATTTTGTTTGGAAATCCCAAGATTTACATAAACTCTACCCTTTATTTTTATTTATTTATTTATTGCAGTACTGAGGATAAAACCAAGGGCACACTATCACTGGGATATATCCCCAATCCTATTTATTTTTTGAGACAGAGTCTTGATTAGTTTTCCAGGTTGGCATCAAATTTGCAATCATCCTGCCTTTGATTTCTGAGTTTCTTGGATTACAGGCTGAACCATGGCAACTGGCAAAACTCTCTCTCTCTCTTTTTTTTTAATATTTATTTTTAGTTTTAGATGGACATAATATCTTTATCTTATATTTATGTGGTGCTGAGGATTGAGCCCAGTGCCTCATGCATGCTAGGTGAGCACTCTGCCACTGAGTCACAACCCCAGCCCCTAAAGTCTTTCTTTTTAATGGGCATTTTGATTGTTTAACTCATTTGCTATCACATGAATATCCTTTTACATACATTTTTGAACACATGTATAACACATGTATAACTATTTTCAATGATACATATAATTGATATAGTAAATAATATCTTTTTATTTTTTAAATATTTTTAGTTGTAGATGGACACAATATGTTTATTTTATTTATTTATTTTTATGTGGTGCTAAGGATTGAACCCAGGGCTTCACCCCAGACCATCTTTTTATTTTTATTTGCATTTCTTTTGAATGAAGTTGGAGGTCTTTTATGTATTGATCAAACTATTTTTATTTCTTTTTCAATAAACACCTGTTTCTATCTTTTGTTTATGTTATATCTTATGTTAAAAAATTATTCCTTTCATGCTAAATTTAAAATATTTTAGGCAAGTCAAATTTATTTTCTTTTTGTCTCCTAAGTTTTGGGGTTTGTGTTTTGTGGTACAGAGAATTGAACCCAGAGGCTCTCTACCATTGAGCTAATACCCAGCCCTTTTCATTTTGAAAGGAAAAATGTATTTCATTTTTATTTTTTACATAAAATAAAAATGTATTGGTGCATTATAATCATGCATATTAGTGGAATTTAATTGTTACATATTCATAAATGCACACTCTATTATTTATTCATTTATCTATTTGCAGTCCTGGGGATTAAACACACTTTATACCACCGAGCTACATCCCCAGCCCTTTTTATTTTTTACTTTGAGACAGGGTCTCCCTAAAATTGCCCAGGATGGTCTTGAACTTATGAATCTTCTGCTTCAGCCTCCCAAATTTCTGGGATTACAGGCCTGTACCATTGTGCCAAAAAATCACACATGGTGGCACAGGCCTATAATCCCAGCAGTTTGGAAGGCTGAGGCAGGAAGAGGCAGACCACAAATTTAAGGTCCACCTGGGCAACTTAGTGAGACCCTATCTCAAAAGTAAAAATAAAAAGGGCCAGAGATGTAGCTCAGTAGTAAAGCATCTCTGGGTTCAATGGAGTGCAGTACTGAAAGGAGAAAAAAAAATCCAGAAAACAAAGAAATAAGACTCTAAACTATCTGGATGGTATCTTAGGATAACAATCAGCAGTAATTATTTTTGTTTTGTTTTGATTTGATTTCTTTTCTAACCTTGTCTCTTTGATCAATGATCCAGCTTCCTGGAGGGGTTCCAGAACAATCTAGACTTCCCAGATCCTTGGGAACATGACTAAATCTGGCTTACAGACCCATCACTGATTATGACCTAGGACTCCAGGTCTTGTGCTCCCTAGGGGAATCATGGGCAGACCACTCTCAGAGGGGCACATGGTCTCCCAGTGGCCTCAGTGCCCATTTAAGCAGGCATGGGCTGTGGCACTTCCTCTGTAAATTCAGCCCTGGCTCCCTTCCTCTCTTCCCTCCCATCCCATCTGTGCACTGCCTGTGAGGAAATTTGCATCATGCAGCAGCGGGAGGGCTCTTAGGGACTGCTCCACTGAGCCATGGCCTGTCCAGCTGCCCCCTGGCTGCTCCTGGTTATGCCTCTTGCCCTGCTAGGGTCACTGGTTGCCCCAGCATTCCAGCCTGTAAGTACAACTGGGGTGGGGACCCTGGGAAGGTCTGAAGAGGTCACAAAAGAGGCCTGAGTTGTGAGAGACAGCAAGGTAAGGGCTGAAAGGACAGGTGAAGGAAAGGGTTTGTTCTGGGATCTAGAAGTGTTTGTCCTGGTGTCCAAAGTATGGGGATAAATGTTGTTTCTTTACATGAGCCCTGTGAGCTCCGACACCTGCCGCAATTGACTTTTCCAGTCATGCTGGCTATTTGAAAATGAAAAGGAAAGAGAAACTTTCCAGACTTGGGATCTGGATGGAGCAAATCCAAGGAAGCTCAGCAGAGCCTTTTCAATCTATTTTCTCCCAGCAAGATATTGATATTTATTATTATTATGTTTTGTTACCAAGGATTGAACCCAGGGGTGCTTAACCACTGAGCCACAACCTCAGCCCTTTTTTGTATTTTATTTAGAGACAGGGTCTCAGTTGTATAAGGCCTCGCTGAGTTGCCGAGGTTGGCTTTGAACTTGTGAGCCCTTTGCCTCAGCTTCCTGAATGGCTGGGATTACAGGCATGCACCACTACCCCAGCAAGATATTGACATATCCATATCTATCTCTCTAAAACTGTATCTCCAAACCTAAATCCATATCTATATCTTTCACTATATAAATCTAAGTCTTGATCAATTCTAAATCTAACTATAGCTTATCTATATCCATATCTGTGTATCCCCCTGGTTTTAGGTAAGTATTCATATGCACATGCAAATTTTTTTTAAAGAGAGAGAGAAAGAGAATTTTTTAATATTTATTTTTTAGTTTTCGGTGGACACATCTTTATTTTATTTTTATGTGGTGCTGAGGATCGAACCCAGCACCCCACACATGCCAGGCGAATCACATCCCCAGCCCCAGCACATGCAATTTAAGAGAGGAAGGAATTGATAAATTAATTTGTGAGAAACTGAGGTTAAGGGAGGAGCTGCCTCATCCTTGGGTCAAATCCTGTGGAAAGAATAAATTCTCTAAACCCCTGGGCCCCTGCCAGCTCTCCCAGCCTTCCTGCTGCAGCTCTAGTCCCAGACATTTTAATTAGCCTAGGGGCCCAGGTCAGTTCAGGAAGGAGCTAAGCAAAGCATGTTGACTCCTGGGCGTGCCTGGTTCCTGGCTTCAGGTGGGACAACAGGCTCTGGTGGGGTCCCTGGGGCTGGATCCCTGCATTCCTTACTGGAAGACTGCTTTCCCCTCCCGATGAGTACATTTGATTCCCACCAAAAAGAAGAGCTTTGGGGGTGGGGGGCTGGGGTTGTGGCTCAGTGGCAGAGCACTAGCCTAGCATGTGTGCGGCACCACACAAAATATATAAATAAAATAAAGGTATTGTGTCCATCTACAAAGAAGAAGAAGACGGGGAGGAGCTTTGGAGAGGACAGGCTAGGCAGACCCCCTCCTGAGGTGGCCCCAGAGGAACTTGGGCTCAGACTTTTCTCAGATGTCTCCCCTTTGTTCCAGGAACAGGGTCAGGCTGGAGGGGAATCTGGGCAGCAACTGGACCAAGAAATTGGAGCAGGGGGTGAGTAGAGGGACACAAGAAGAGGAATGGAAGGAGAAAATGGGAGCAGGGAGGGAGGTAGAAAAAAAAGACCTGGGAGGGGACACAGGAAGGGGCAGGAGAGAGAGGATGGGCTCTGGGTGAGTCAGTCAGACCCCCCACATCATGTGTTTAGGCCCGAGGTCCTTAGAAACTCATGCATCTTTGGGAGCTTTGTCTATGCAGTAGGGTTGCTGGGAGAATGGACATGAAACTATGTATCTGAATGGACTGTAGCTAGGGCAGGGGTCATTGCCATCCTACAGGCCAAGGGGGTGGGAGGAATCAGCTCCATGTTCCTGGAAATGGCCAGATGGATATGGGAGGCAAAATGGGGCTTGGGGCCTTGCTGCCTCTGCTCTCCAACTGTTCCTCGTCTCCTGTAGAATCGGTCCTGGTCTCAGCCTATGTGCATCTGGAATTTTCAGACAAGACCTGGCCACCAATGTTCTCCAGGAACCTGACTCTCCTCCCTGCCTCAGCTTCCTCTTCCCTGAAAACTCTCATTGGCCTCAGCCTCACGACAGGTGGCAGCTGCTGGAAGGCAGCTCCGAATGAATGGAACTCGGACTTCCCAGGCCTCCCCTCCCACCACCAGCAGGCCTGAGATGCTTGAGCCCCTCCCTGTTTCCTGGGTGCTGCCTGACCTTTCTCCCTAGCCTAGCTCCTTCTTTACCGCCCCACCAGACAGACCCCTTCCTCCTGTTCACAATCCTGCCTTCTAACTTGGGCGGAGGGCCTAAGGGGCAGACAGGGTAGGCCCAGACTTCACCAACCTCACCCTGATGTCCCGATGCCCTGATGCCCTTGTCCAGCACAGCCTCTGAGGCGTCAGGCGGATTCTGGGGCTGCTGCCTGGCTTTCTCCCTGCCCACCTCTTACTCCCCTTCTCTTTGTTTCAGAGTGTAATGTCAACCACACGGGGTACAGCCACTGTTCTTGCCTCTCTGGGTACCAGTGGAATGCCAGTGTCTGCTCCCATCACCTTCTCTGCCACCCCCAGCACCAAAGCCACCAGCCTTGTGGCTGTCTTGTCTTCAGCCATCCTGTCTCCGGCTACTGCCAGTTGCTGCCACCTGGTAAGGAGGGTTGGGAACTTAGAAACTAATAGCCATAAATAAAAATATGCTTTCTGTATATTTTTCTTCTTTGAACCTATATTTCTTTATTATAAAGATTAATGGAATTTACTGTGACATTTCCATATATGCATGTATCATGAATCAGTCACGTCCATCTACCTGTCTTCCACCTTCACCCTCCCGTTTCCCTGTCCCTAGCAATCCCTGTTCTACTTTCTGAACCTATATTTTCTGCCAGCTTGCCCAGGTCCAGCTGCTTGTCTGAGTTGGCAAAAAAAAAGATAGCCACCATGAATATGAGGCCAACGAACGGAGCCCCAGAGTCATATGGACAAGGGAAGAAAGGGCTAGAGTGACCCTACGTTTTAGCCTAGCAGGCAAGAAATGACTCTAGCAGCTTCAGGAGGGTCTTTAATTGCAGCAGCCACACTCAGATGTCTATCCAGGGACAAGAGAAATGATAGGCAGGGAGGGATTGTGGAGGAATGGGCTTAGAAGATGGACAGGAATGATCCTGCAATTGCAAAAGGGTCATGAGTCACCCTCCAGGGCTCTCCTGTCTCCTGCCTCCCTGCAGTGCCTGGGAACCTGAGGCTGAACTCCCATCTGCAGATGCCTGGTGACACACTGAACCTGACTCTCCGCATAAGCCAGGAGGCCACTAACCTGACATGGTTCTTGAGGCGCCCAGGGAAGCCCACACCCATCCTCCTGCAGAAAGGAACACAGGTGTCCCTGACCTCCAGCCAGGGCCAGGTTGTCCTCAGCATCAGCCACATGTCCCAGTATTGGGCAGGTAGCCCTCATCTCTCTTTTTCTTTCCCTTTTCTTCTTCCTCCTCATTTTTTCTTTTCTTCCTTTCACCTAACTCTCCTATTCTTCAGTACCTTCTTTTCTTTTCACCTCTTCCTTATCCTTTTTGTCTTTTCATTCATTTATTCAGGGAAAATAAATGCTAAGGGACCCATTAGAACATGGAAAATTCTAAAAAATGGGCAGTTCTTTCCATGTGATCTTAGGATTTCTGGGAGCCTTTCAGGGGTTTATCAAGTCACAATGGTTGTCCTAGTGTAGGAAGATGTCGGTGCCTCTTTTTCACTCCCTCAGGAGTGGCATCTCCCAGGGGTGCAGGGTTATCACAGAGCTCACATGCAGAAGCAGTTGGCTTCCCTTTAGCAAACATTAATGTGATTTAGAAAAATATGAAATATTGTCACTCTTCTAATTATGTTTGTTTTGGAAAATATAGTTATTTTTCTTAAAAAACACTTTTATTAGCAAAAGAAATTTATAATAGAGAGAATGCTGAAAATATGGTTTCCTTCAGCTGAGAACACACCAGTGATTATTCAGATGCTAAATGGCAGGGGGTGGCACAAGAAGGACATGTACTGTGGAAAAAGAGGCTCACCTTAGAGTTAATGGCCACTGGTAAGAAAAAAGTGTCAGGAGACTCTTCCACAAATCTCTTCTTCATCCTACAAATCCTTCTTTGGGGGCAGGGAGTGCCTTCCAAAAGAGTCATCCTAGGACCTTTCTGGCTAGGGCTAAGCTCTGAGAGGTGAGCAAAGGAGGGGAGCAATCAAGTGGGTCTGGACTGTGGCTTGGGGTAGCAAAAGAAATTCTGGGGCATAGGAGGGCCCAAGGGAACCCCAAGATGCAGCAGATGTGTCTGCAGGTGAGTACATGAGCTGCTTCGAGGCCCAGGGATTCAGGTGGGAGCTGCGCCAGGTGGTGAAGGTGCCTTTGCAGCAGAAAGAAGTGGCTCGAATTCCAGAGAAGCTGTCCATCTCCTGTGCCACCTCCTCTGGCTTCCAGCTGAGCTGCTGCATCCCCAGGACACACCTGGCCTACACTGCTGCCTGGAACCCTGAGGAGGGCAGTCAAGGTAGGGGAAGGGATGGCTACTGGAATCAGGGGTGACAGCAGGCAGCTTCTCTCCTCCAGGCTGCAGCTCAGGCTGAGAGTTGGGGATCTAAATCCAACAATGTTTTCACCCCATCCCAGTTGCGTTGATATAACACAACCACATGTATAGATAGCTTTTTGCAAAATGCTTCATCCACACCATCTCTTTTAATTCTTGAAATAGACCTATTATACCAATGAGAAAACTGTGAAACTAGCCCTGGAGCTAGTTAGAGATCCCCAGAGTACTCTTCAGCAAAACCTGAGTTCTGCCCTCAGTAGTTCAATGCCCACATGCCACTCCACACTCCCTCCCTATTTCACCTACTTCTGAAATTACTAAGAAGACTAAAAGAGTGTGTCTGGGCCTGCTGGGTTCTGGCCTGTTGCAGCCAGCAATGGCTCCCTTCTCTCATCTCCTCAGCCTCAGCCTCCTTACTCACCACCTCAGGCTCTCAGTGTCTTGTGCTGGCTATTCAGCGCTGCCCAGCCGCTGACACCACCTACACTTGTGTCCTGCAGAGCCAGGACCTGGATCCTCTCAGGTTTCCTGTCCCTGTCACCATCATCCAGGGTAAGCAAAATTTCTCTTCAGCTACTTCCTCTTCCTCTTCCTTGACACTTCTCAGCCCTGGCCAGCTGGGCCGGGCTTCAAAGCCTGCCCAAGTTTCTGTCCAAGAAAAAAAATTCAGGCTTGATTGATTGCCAAGGCCTCTGATCATCATTCTTTAGATGGAGATACTACCTGCCCCGAGAACTTCTCTGTTGTTGCCTGGAATGTAACCAAGGCTGGCCACGTGGCAGAGGCCCCATGTCCCATGAATAAGATGGGTGTCGTGAAGAGGCCCTGCAGGCCTGATGGCATCTGGGGGCCCGTTCAGACTGACTGCACAGACGTGGGGATCCTGGCCTTGTGTATTAAAGCCAAGGTAAAGCTGTCATGCACATGTCTCCAACCACGACTCACCCCTCCCTCAGGACCTGGCTTTAGGATCCTTTTCCTGAGGTCACCCACAGGTTATTCAGCTTCTCTCACCTGGAGACCTAGCAGAGCCAGGAAGTAGGTAGGGGGGCTCAAGGGGCCATCTCTCTGCCCAGGGGTGGGATAATATTCTTGAACCACGGTCCCATCAATTGTCTGTCCCCTAATATCCGAATCATTGCTCACTTACTGCCCCATCAGCCTCCTACTCCCCTGGGATGGGGTGTGGAGATGGAGGGACAAGGAGCTGGGCAGGAGGAGGAGGTGGCCCCTGCCCTGTGAGGATTATCCCGCCACCCCCTTCCCACTGTCTGTCTGTCTCAGTTGCTGCAGGCAGGCCAGGGCAGGCCTGCTGAGGAGGTGCCACAGATCCTGGCACAGCTGCAAAGGCGGGTGGGGATGGCAAGCTCACCCTCTGACTTAGTAGCATTGCTGAGCACCGTGAAATCACTGTCTGAGGTGGTGGCAGAGGACAGAATGCATCTTGATCGCAGTGCCCTGGAGGTGAGATCTCTGAGCCACAGTGGCAGGGTGGTGACTTTTCACCATAGGCAGAGACTAGAGTCCAACAGACACCTGGAGTCCAGGTGTCCACTCCCCTTCCTTTCCTTTGGGACATCATCTCCAAGGTCATGGAGTGTGAAGAAGGCCTGATGCTGGGAACATGTGGGAGGCTTGAAGGCAGCGAGGGGTGTGGAGACAGGAGTACGGAGGCGTACATACACACACAGACCCATGAATCTCTCACACAGAAGCACCCACACAATGCCTACTTGGAGACACTCAAACACACTTGGCTTTGCTGGCCCCACCTACATCAGCTCTCAGTAGGGGCATCAGCTGACAGTCCATAAGCTGCAACCAAAATAATAATGAGGGCAGTGGCATCACACATCCTTCAAGTCTGGAAGCACTAGCATAGGTAGGTGCACAGACATGCATGTGGCCCTTGACTTCAAAACATTGTGCCTTCTGCCACTGGCCGCCACCCCTAGCTTTGCAGCATTAGAAGAGTCAAGGAATTATAAAGGGGCCCTCTTAGGATCTGGGTAGCCCCAAGCGATGGAGAAGAAAGGAGAGGTGTCAGAGGGCTGGGAGTGGGTCAGGAGAACACATGCTTGAAAATGCCCAGGTAGTTGGCTGAACACCACCCACACATCCCACACAAGGCCTCCTTCACAGGCCTGCATTCTCGTCCCCTTCTGTCTCCAGCCTAGGTCTTGTCCTGGACTAGGAAGGGTAGGGGTGGGATCCATATGTTCCAGTGCCACTGCCTCAGCAGTATGGGCTCTAGGAGATCAGGTTCACCTCTCTGTTGGATGCCACAGGATCTCCTGGCCACCACAGACAACATCCTAGACATGAACATCAGCTCTCTGTGGACCCAGGCCCAGGTCCAGAAGCCCACGGAGGGTTCACACTTCTTGCTGGCTGTGGAGACTCTAGTTCGCAGCCTGTCCCCAGAGGATCAGCCCTTCTCCTTCAACTCATCCAATGTGCTGCTGCAGAGTCAGTTCTTCGAACCCACACTTCCTCAGTACCGAATCTCCTTCCCCACTCAGCCCCCGGTGTGGGCAGAGATTCCCAGTCACTCACTGGCTCCTCTGGTTCATAATGGAACCAACATCAGTGTTACTAGTCTGGTACTACAGAAACTGGATCACCTTCTACCCTCAAACTATGGACAAGGGCTGGGGGACTCCTTCTATGCCACTGATGGTCTGGTGCTCGTCATCTCCATCATGGCAGGTGGCCAGGCTTTCACCCAGGCAGAGGTCATAATGGACTTTGGGGACACCGATGACTTTCTGCACTGTGTTTTCTGGGATCACAAACTCTTTGGGGGTGAAGGGGGCTGGTCAGGTGAAGGGTGCCGGGCAGATGCCGCCATTGCTAGCCCTGCTACTTGGTGCATTTGCCAGCACCTCACTGCCTTCTCCATCCTCATGTCCCGACAAACTGTTCCAGAAAATCCTGTCCTGGACCTGCTGAGTCAGGTGGGCTTGGGGAGTTCTATACTGGCACTGCTTGTGTGCTTGGGCGTGTACCGACTGGTGTGGAGAGTTGTGGTGCGGAACAAAGTCGCCTTCTTCCGCCATGCTGCCCTGCTCAACATGGTCATCTGCCTGCTGGCTGCAGACACCATCTTCCTGGGAGCCTCATTCCTTCCGCCTGGTTACCTCACCCCACTCTGCCTGGCTACTACCTTCCTGACTCATTTTTTCTACCTGGCCACCTTTTTTTGGATGCTGGCACAGGCCTTGGTGTTGGCCCACCAGCTACTTTTTGTCTTCCACCAGCTGTCCAAGCACCGAGTTCTCTCCCTGATGGTGATCCTTGGCTACCTGTGCCCACTGGTGTTTGCAAGTGTCACCCTAGGTCTTTACCTGCCTCAAGGGCAATACCTGAGGGAGGGGAAATGCTGGTTAGATGGAAAGGGAGGGGCATTCTACACCTTCGTGGGGCCACTACTGGCCATCGTGGGAGTCAATGGGCTGGTACTAGCCACAGCTGTGCTGAAGTTGTTGAGACCTTCACTGTCGGAGGGGCCCCCAGTAGAGAAGCGACAAGCTCTTCTGGGGGTGATCAAAGCCCTGCTCATTCTCACACCCATCTTTGGCCTCACTTGGGGGTTGGGCTTGGCCACTCTGCTAGAGGAAGTCTCCACAGTCCCTCATTACATCTTCACTGCGCTCAACAGTTTCCAGGTAGGTGGTTGAGGGTAGTTGCATTTTATTGCCCTTTTAGATGGTTTAAGTTACGGCCAATTGCTTCTCATAGAAGTAGCATGGTAAAGCAGAAGAAATAGGTTTTGACATTTAAGAAGGCTATGTATAGAACACAGTTCCTCCATTGTGTAGCTGGACAACTTTGGACCAGTAATATAACCTCTCTGAGTGATGGCTTTCTTATCTGTAAAATATCTGATTTTGCTAGAGAAGTCAGGCAATTGTTAGCACTCAATCTTTTCATATATCCTTTATAACCATAAGAAAAGCAGCTGAAATGGATCCCATGAACTAAGCAGTGCTAAGGTGCAGGAAAACCAAGATGGGAATCTTCAGGATGTGGATTAGACAAGGGGACAGAGGCTGAAGGAAGATAGGAGTGAACTGACTTGGGTGGATTCCCTCTTCTTGACTAGCTTATCCCCGCATCCCTCCTCACAGGGTGTCTTCATCTTATTGTTTGGTTGTCTCACAGATAAGAAGGTGAGTGTGCCCAGCTAACGCCCCTCATGACTGGCTGCGAAGAGAAAGCTAGTACTTGGCTGGCATAATAGGGGTATTTACCTCTCCTGTAGGTACAAGAGGCTTTACGAAAACGCTTTTGCAGTAACCAACCTCCAAATTCCACTATCTCCCTGGTGAGTTGCTCAATTCAAAGCCATAGCCTTCCCAAAGGAGATGGGCACAGCTGGCAGCAGGGAGAAGATTGGGGATGGCTATTGGAACGAGCAAGTTTCAAGACAGGCACTCTGGCACATGCCTGTAATCCCAGTGGCATGTGGGACGCTGAGGCATGAGGATTCCAAATTCGAGACTAGCTTCAGCAACTTAGTGAGGCTCTCACTGACTAGGTGAGACCCTTCTCAAAATAAAAAAAAATAAAAATCAAATGAGCAGGTTTTAGGTTCCAGTTCTCCAGTCACGGAGGGAGCAGGCCAGTCAAGCAGTCAGAATCAGATTCCCAGTTTCCTGAGTATGACATGGATCCCTGATGGAAAAGACAGAATCAGTACACGTGGGACCAAGGGAGCAGACAGTAAAGTTCCTGGGATCACACTGCAGCCCAGCCAGGAGGAGAATGTCAAAATGGAGACTTCAGAGCAGGGACTATCATAATGACTGCCCTGCAACTGGGCTTTTCCATCTCTTTCTAGGCCACAAATGAAACCTACATCTTGGAACAAAGCAAAAGAAGTGAAACGCCAGGTAAGAATGAGTTTCATTCAGAGCAGTAAGAGCAGCGTGGAATGAGGACGGGTTTAGCAAAGGGCCTCCTGGCAAAGTTCTGGACAGCAGGCTCCTCTTCCTAGACCTACTCCAGCCTGAAGGGTGGAAAGCAGGCTCCTCCCCGCAGGTTGGCCATTCATAGATGGGCCTCAGAGAGAAGGCACAGCATCAACCAACCCCGACGCAGTTCTCTCTGAAAGTTCCTTTTCACACTGTCAAATTTTAAATTATCCTGAAACACACTTGTCTTAAAGGAAATGCCATTGTGGGCTTGATGTCCAGAGGGGAAAGCAGGTTGCAGAGATTGGGCAACGTGTCCTGTCACCAGGCTCCAACTTTAGGATGAGCTCTTTGACAGGGCAGATGTTCTAGGGTGACTGCATGTAGACCCAGGTTCCTGTGAGAAAGTTCATGGTATTTGCCTGAATCCACCAAATGGGTCCTGACCCAATACTCTGAACCCCTCCCCTTTAAGCTCAGACCTTGGGAAAAGCAGGCTTTGATTTCCCTTAGTCACACTCATTTCTCTTATCGCTCACCTTATCACCCCAAGGCATCCAAGCAAAAATAGCATGAAAAACTAGCTAAAGCCACCTAGTGACCTAATAAAAAAGCTTGCAAAAACAGTCAAGATGTCAAAATTCAAAATAATTGCAAGTAAAACTGTCTCCACCAGCTTTTAACTAACCAACAGGACATGTTACAGATATAATGGATAAAAATGGATTTAACTTGCACTGATTTATTTTTTGATTATTTCTTTGATAGTCATGAAGAAAGAGTGACTGATTGACAGGAACTGCTGATCTTCCAAACACTAGAGAAGAAGCACAGAATTTTGTTTGTTTTTTTAAGGTCCAGGAAAAGGTGAAATTAAATGGCCCCTTTCTTTAATCTTTAAAAAACATCAACGTAAAATATAAATTTCAGGGACATATGTATGTAACAAGTAAGCTCTGATAGAAGCATATTTGAAAGATTTCATTTTTAAGAGGAGGGAAAAGTACCACCGACTGATAAGACTTAAGGAGAAAAGATTACAAATACTGACATTCAAGCTAAGACTAGATGTAGAGAACCAGATATAAGAGAAGTTCTCAGGACCCCAAGACATCTGACTGAATTAACTTATTAAATGCAAAAGAAGATAACAGGCTTCTGGAAAAAAATCTAAATTAGATACATGGAAAAAATTCTGATAAATCACTAGTCTACTCTAATTTTACAGTGTATGAATATGGATACTTTTCAAAAATGTGGTAGGGGGCTGGGGATATGGCTCAAGCGGTAGCACGCTCGCCTGGCATGCATGCAGCCCAGGTTCGATCCTCAGCACCACATACAAACAAAGATGTTGTGTCTGCTGAAAACTGAAAAATAAATATTAAAAAATTCTCTTCTCTCTCAAAAAAATATAAAAAAAATGTGGTAGGAATATTTCCTGTTAAAATAAAAAGATATACTATCCATGCCATTAAAAATATTTTTCTTATAAATACTCTATCTTAATGATTTGTGTGTATATTTTAATTATGAATAAACTGGCCCAACTATTTCTATAAATAGGTATAATCATGATTTTGAATAGAAGATTCTAACTTACTAGGGCCCTTATGATGTTGCAAGCCTCTTACTTGCTCCCTTTGGGAGGCTGGAGCTACCGAGACAGGCAAGGCCCTGCCTTGCAATACAGACATGGCTGCTAGGCTTACAAGTATAAGCCACTATGCCTGGCTCCTCATTTTTAAAATTATAAAAGTATTTTTGGTTACAAATTCAAATACATTTGTTCCCTTTATTTATTTTTTAGTACTAGGGATTGAACCCAGGGGTGCTTTACCACTGAGCTACATTTCCACCCCTTTTTATTTTTTGTTTTGAGATAGGGTCTCACTAAATTGCTTAGGACCTCTCTAAATTGCTGAAGTTGGCCTTGAACTTGCAATCTCCTGCCTCAGCCTCCCAAGTCACGGGGATTACAGGTATGCACTACTGTGCCCAGCCACTTTTTCCCTTTAGAAGCAGCAGAGACCCCTTTCCTGAGTGTGCTTCTTTAGAAAGATGTGTTCTCATTTTTCCTTCCCAAAGTGATTGCACATACTCTGCTGGTAAAAATTTATATTCAGAACTGGTAAATGAACAAAACAAAACAAAAAACAAAAAAGACCATAAAAGAAGGGTCTAGAGACAAATTTAAGAAAACAAAACATTTTGCAGCAATTCAATTTCTAAGATGGCTTAAAGAGATTAAAGAGATTAGTGAACAAGAGAACAGGTAACTGTGCAAAGGCTGTGCATTCCAGAGGGTTTGCCTCCTCAAAAAAGAGGCATTTGTAAAATAAATTAGGATAGACCCATATGCAGAAATGCTATGTGGTCACTAGAAATGATGTAGAGCTATATCTGCTGATATGGAAAAAATGTTTAGGCTATATAGCTAAGTAAACAAAAGGGTTCCAGGGCAGCATTATACTATGCGATTACAATTCATATAAGCATGCATTGAAAAGGAGATATCAAAATATTAACAGTGGACCTCTCTACTTGTTTTTTCATTTTCTTCCTACTCTCTATATTGTTTGAATTTTTTTATAGTTAACATCTTTTATAGACTTAAGGTATAGAACATGCTTTAATATATATACACATAGTGAAATGACTGCTAAAGTTAAGCTAATTTACAGATCCATCATCTCATGTATTTACTTTTGTATTTAGGTTATAGCACCTAAAATAGTAACAAATTTCCAGTATATAATACAGTATTATTAACTAGGGTTCTCATGCTATAAATTGGATCTCTGGACTTACTCATCCTACAGAACGCAATTGGCATGTATTTATATACTAGAAAAAAAATATTTAAAAAAAAGTTCTTCTGAAACTTTACATATTTAAACATATAAACCTGACAAATAAAGGTAGAAACAAAATACTCCCTGGAATTTAGGTTTTTACAGGAGGTAGACAATATCAGGGATTCCTGAGGAAGTTTTGAATGCCCTTCTGGGGTTCTGTTTTGGGAATTAACTGTTTGATCATGGACAGTCCCTTAATTATGGAAAGGAAAAGGGTTCCTTAGCTGAGTCCTTTGCAGCTATGAACATTGCCAGTATGTCTAAATGTCCCTTCTCTTTCACATCAACATATTTCCTTGAAGACTAGTAGCACTACTCACTACTCTTGCTTCCAACATCCTCCCAGTCAGTAATTCCTCTTCACTGAGAAAGCAGAGTATACCAGTTTAGAGACCAAATAAGCCAGTGGCAGAGTACCTCTGAGCTATCCATTAAAATATGAGGAGGAGACTGGGACCCATGCCCCTGCATTTCATTCTTCAAGAAATACCAGAATTTGAGAGGCCTTGCAAAAGTAAATAAGGAGAAAGGCTAGGAGGAGACAATAGACGGAGTAGAATTAGGATTCTTTTCTCTGGAAAGATGGGTGCAAAGGCAGAAATTTTTTGTCTATTTTACTGGTTACTGTAGCCTCCATGTCTAGAGTAAATGCCTAACACCTAGTAGGCATTCAATACATATTCATTGAATGAACTACATAGACCATAGGAAGAGCATGAATGTTACTCTGAATCAGAGACCATAGAGAAACAAACAGCGAGGAAGACAGAAGTGAGGCTTTTCTAGTTTGAATGAGAGAAGACAGGAAATAAGAGGTGCCACTCCCAAATAGCTACTTGGTGAAACAGATAATCTAATTAAATTTTTACATGAAAAGAGAGAAAGTTGGCATCTTTAAGAATAACATTATGGGGCTGGGGATGTGGCTCAAGCAGTAGCGCACTCACCTGGCACGCACGGGGTGCTGGGTTCAATCCTCAGCACCACATAAAAATAAAGATGTTGTGTCCACTGAAAACTAAAATAAATAAATAAATATTTTAAAATTCTCTCTCTCTCAAAAAAAAAGAATAACATTAAGAGCCAGGTGTAGTGGTGCACACCTATAATCCCAGTGACTTGGGAGGCTGAGGCAGGAGGATCACACATCAAAGACAGCCTTAGGAACTTGGCAAAGCCCTAAGCAACTTGGTGAGACCCTATGCCAAAATAATAAATAAAAAGGGCTGGGAATGTGGCTCAGTGGTAGAGCATTTGGTCAGTATGTGCAAGGCCCCATGTATGATCCCTAGCACCGTAAAGGAAAAAAATGGGGGGACCCTAGGGATATAGCATAGGGTTAGAGTCCCATTGGGTTCAACCCCCAGAACCCTCTGCCCCATGATTAACATAAGCAACTTAAGATGTCTAAGAATGAACTTCAGCCAGCACGGTGGCACGTGCCTGTGATCCCAGCAGTTTGGGAGGCTGAAGCAAGAGGATTGCAAGTTCAAGGCTATTCTCAGCAACTTAATAAGACCCTAAGCAACTCAGAGAGACCTTGTCTCAAATAAAAAAATAAAAAGGCTCAGTAGTTAAACACCCCAAGTTCAATCCCTGGTCCCAAAAAACAACAAAAAAAGAATTATTATGTAGATTGAAGCGACGCCAAGCCACTTCTGCCAAGGATGATCATTAGAAGCAGTCAAGTTAACAAATTAACTGGGCAGAATGCCTTAAAATAATATATAAAATTGGATGAACCTACAAGACAACTTTTGCTAGAAATTTACCAGTACAGTGAAGCTGGCTGGGTGTTCTCATCAAATCCAGTTCCAATGCCCCGCAACCCACAAGCAACCTCAATTCTGAATTGTCTTCCTTTACTTTTTAAAAAAACTTTAAAATTGTAGAAATTTTTTAAATATTTTAAAGTTTATAGTTCAGTAAAATACATTCTCATTGTTCTTAAACCAATCCCTAGGACTATTTTCATTTTTCAAAACTAAAATTTTACATCCATGCAACAGCAACTCCCCACATTCTCCCCACCCCTCAGTGACTGGCAACCACCATTGTACTTTCTGTCTCTATGAATCTACTTTAGAAACCTTATATAAGTGGAATTATACAGTAATTGTCTTTTTGTGACTGGCCTATTTCATAATGTACTTGAGGTTCATGCAAGATTACCATGAGTTTTAACCTGCATAGTATTCCATTATGGCTATACGTCATATTTT